ATCATTGCACACTTATCAGATTGGCTAAAATGATAGAAGGGGAAAACGATAAATGTTGAAGGGTAAATGGAAAAATTGGGACTTTAATACACTGTTGGTGAAACTGTGAACTAATCCAACCATTTTGGAGAGTAATATAGAATTACTCCCAAAGAGTTTAAAAACAAACAAACAAACCTGTGTATAGCCTTTGATCCAACAATACCACTTTTAGGTCTGTTTTCTAAGGTGATCAGGGAAAAAGGAAAAGAACTTATATGTTCTAAAATATTTATAGCAGCTCTCTTTGTGGTGTCAAAGAACTGGGAATTGAGGAAATGCCCATCAATTGAGGGATGGCTAAACAAGCTGTGGTGTATTATTGTGATAGAATAATACTGCATTATAAGAAATGATGAGCTGGTTGATTTTAGAAAAATATGGAAAGACTTGCATGAAATAATGAAAAGTGAAGAAAAAGCAGAACCAAGAGAATGTTGTATATAGTAACAGCAATATTTTTTGAAGAATAACTGTGAACAAACAAGTTATTCCGAGTACTATAAATACTCAAATCAACTATACAGAACCTATGAAAGAAGATGACATCCACTTCCAGAGAAAGAACTGATAAATAGAAGTAGCAGAGTATGGTTCTACATATATTTATGAATCTGGGTCAAATGGTGGCATTCTTTAGTGCAGGGTGAGGAAGGAGGGACAGAGATAGTTTTGAACTGAAAATATAATAAAAATTAAATTAAATTAAAAATTCAAACAGTGATCATGAAGGTAAGAGGGAGCCACTGGAGTTTATTGAATAGAGTGAGTTAGTCATATCTGCACTTTAGAAAGTTTGGTTTGACATTGAGTGTTCTACTTCATCCATCACTTCTCCTAGTTGTTCAGCAACAGGTAATCTATCCACTCCTTGCTAATGATATTATCATTAATTCATATAACTTTTTACGGCTTGAAAAATACTTTCTGCAAAAGCTATGAGGTAAGAAGGAAAATATAATTGCTAATTTTCTGATGAGGAAATTAAGGTTTAAGGAAGTTAAGCAGTTTGCTTTGCTAGTGAGCATTGAAACAAAGTCTGAACATGTTCTCTGACTTTAGGTTCGCTGCCATTTCTTGGCTTACCTTTCCTTTACCAATATTGTAGGTTCACTGAGGGCAGGGAGGGACTATCTTCATTTTTATTTGTATTTGTATCCCCAGCACTAAGTAGGTACTTTATTGACTTAATGACTTACATACACATACACACATATATAATATATGACATGTAAAACATTTATTGGTTTAATGGGTGACACTTCATTGGATCATAGATTTAGAGTTGAAAGAGAATTTAGAGGGCATCAAGACTCTTCAGACAGGTAGTAAGTGGCAGACTGTTAAGGACCTATAAGGATGTAGAGGGCCACAGGCTGTTCAAGAGGTCTCACTGATGGGCGGAGGCCCCTCTAGGGTGCTGATCTTTGAGCAAAGGTCGCCTGGTTCGGTGCTCCATCGTATGGATCTGTAACAATCTTTAACTCCCCTAGTTATTGTATGGTAATTGGCAGTTTATCTGTGATTGGAGTCAGATATGTGCACAGTATGTGCATACACCGTCCTTAGCACAGCATGAGCTCTACGTCATTGTAACTTGATATGAAGTTCCTGTTACTTTACTACTTAAGTAAATGCTTTGCTAAAAATAAACGGAGTTGCTTCCATCCTGCCTCCCGCCTCATCAATGCGCATTTGAGATAGAAAATCAAGCTGGTCTTGATTCATCAGGTGATTGGGAAATCCTAGCTCCTAGGTAGGCTCTATAGCCAAGTGAACTAGTTGTGCACAACAGCAGACCTAGTATTTGACTTGCCTCCTCTCATTCCAAATTGGGCCTTTTCCACTGGGTCATGATGCTTCCATAAATAAAATAAAATGAAACAAGAAAACAACATTCATATTGTTATAAGTTTTGTTAATTTTTCCTTTTTTCTTTCATTTCCTCTTCAATTCCAGAGGTTTTCAAGCAATGGTAGGACAGTAGCTTGTAGAAGGGATTCAGAGGAAGTAGGTCTAATTCTGAATCTGCCACTTGCTACCTTTTTGACTTTGAAAAGTCTCTTGACTTCTCCCATTCCAATTCCTTCATCTGTCAATGGACCAACCAATTGATGAATTAATAAGCATTTATTAATACTTCTCCTCTACATTTTAGGTGCCATGCTAGGTGATGGAAATACACAGACAATAAATTAAAGACTGTCTGCTCAATGAGCTTCCATTCTATAGGAAAAACACATGTATACATATAAATAAATTAAAAATATATGCATTACAAATACAGAGTTAAAATTTGCACACATTTATTTCTGAAGAAGTAAAGGAATTTTTTATGTGGTGAATATGAGAGTCAATTTGATTTCATATACTCAGGAAGAGAATGTTTCCTTCACCTAAAATATTTCTCAACAAGTAATACAAAATAATAAATTATTGATTTTTCAGACCTCCAATTGGGTAAATTGGGATCAATGTGGCAGGGTAGTCAGAATGTATGTAGCAAAAGGGGATCATTAAAGAATGAAGGAATGAAAGAACATAAATTAAGTGCTGATGCTCTTATAAGCACTCAGCTAAGCAATGGAAATACACATTAAAAAGTGAGATAGTGGTCCATCTTAAGGAGCTTATGTTCTATTAGGGAAGATTACATGTATAAGGAAGTAATGACCAGAGAAGGGAGTTTGGGGCTGGAGAATCACAAGGATGTTAACTTGATAGTTATCCTTATACATATATGTCCTTTTCAGAAGGGATGTCATATTGATTTTGATAGGGGCGGGGCCCACGCCAAGATCTTCGCCCTTTGCTCCAAAGGGAATCTGACTCACAGGCCCCAGACCCTCATCTCCCTTGAAAGCCCTAGCTTACCTTTAGATCTTATTCAGATGCACCTTCAACCCTTGCCCTGAATAGAATCTGGCTCCTGTTTGTCTACAGGACCCAGAAAACCCTTAAACCTTCAAATTTCCTAATCAGCTCCCTCTTGTCTATAGGCCCCAGAAAGGCCTTCCCTTTATCTCCTTTTGAAAGTCCTAGCCCCACCTTGATTTTGTGCAGATGCCTTTCAAACTTCTGCCTTCCTGTTCCCTCCATTATCTATTCCCATTGTCTATTCAATCTCCCTGACCTCCCTAATTAGAATTCTTACCTAGACCCTTTTCCCAACCCCCTTCTCTGGCCACCCAAAGTTACTTTAGTATTTAAGATCCACCTTGGCCCTCGTTCAGATGCTGAGAATCTCAGGCCCACAAGGCTGAGAACCTCTCATGCCTGCTCGTCTTTACGGGCGTCACCTAGCTGAGAATCTCAAGCCCACAAGGCTGAGAACCTCTCGTGCCCACTCGTCTTTACGGGCGTCACCTGGTCAATGTGATTTATCACTAATAAACTTTTCCTCTGGCTGAAGAAGATTTGAGTTGAATTCATTCAGCAGGGCCCGGTACTGCGATCTTGGGGTCCCAGCACCCCAAAACCCCTAGACCTCTTCAATTTGATCACTATATGTGTAAGAAGTGGAAAGCAGGGGCTGTGGGATAGACATGATGCTTGGTATGCATGCAGTAACAATAGCAGAGCAGATGGAAAAATGACAAAGGTGGATGGCTAGTTGAATGATGAAGAGTGTGGTCTCATTTGGGGCAGGCTTAATATAATAGACTACTTGAGTTTGTACTTACTATCAAATCAAGACCAACTTAGTTTGGTTATATTTATGCTTAATCCAACTGCTAGGGAAAATTTTTTATGGTTGCCACAATATTGGGAGAATTTAATGGATCATGGTCCTATATGGGGTACTATGGAAGGAGAGATGTTCTGAGATCCTTTAGTTTGAGTTATCTTGCGATCTTTTTTGAGAAAGCTCAGATATATCTTCAAGATATTAATATGAATAAAGATTATTCCAAATCTCAATTATTTTAATATAAATATAAACATGAAATATAAAATGCTTATTTATTAAAACTGACAGCTTATCAAAAGAAATTGTCCTAAGTACATTTCTAAAGACTGATGTGCTTTGTTCAATCACTATGTATGTGTGTATGCATGTGTCCATATTTGCATGTGTGCATATGCATCTGCTGTCAGTAGTGACTAACATTGTCATTGTGTATTCTTTAACGTACCTATGCAAAAATTAAGGCAAGAGTCCTTGACCTTTGGTGTCTAGAACCCCTTGGGCAATCTGGTGAAGCCCAAGAAACTTTTCTTAGAATGATGTTGTTAAATACATACAACAAAATACATAAGGTTACAAAAGAAACAAAGCATAGTGAAATAATCATTAAAATATCTTTTTAAAAAGCAAGTGCATAGCCCCTAAGTCAAGAACCCCTGAACTGGAGCTTTCTCAGGAGATGAATTGTTACCTTTCCCTTAGCTTGAACATCCATCTTAGAGGCATCTGTAAAACTGTTAATGATACTAGCTAATATTTATATAAAAAATTATGGTTTGCAAAACACTTTACAAATATCTCATTTTATCCTCACAACAATACTTGTGGTGTGTGTCCTATTGTTATCTTTATTTTATAGGATAAGAAAACTGAGGCGGACAAGGGTAAGTGACTTTTACAGTTATACAATAAATAAGCGTCTGAGGCTGGGTTTGAACTCATGTCTTCCTAACTCTATATCATATCCACTGTACCACCTAACTGCCTGTAAGAATTTAGTAGTGCCAAGAAAAGCTAAGAATTTTTTAACTCCAAACATATTGAACATTGTCTGGGGGTTCATTATAGGGAATTCATTTGTAAAGAAAGAGCTAATTACATAATACTAGCTTGTATATAACTTTTCTGTATCCTTCCTAGCTAGTGTAACAGAAAATAATAACAATGCTTATTGACAATTTTTGAAAAATAAAGCTAATTTACAAAATAAAAAAAAATCTCAGAGAGTAAGGCAGGGCAGGGGAGAAGATATAAATTTTAATAATGACCAAATTACAATGCCATTTTATTACATATAGAGAATGATAACTTTCACTAAGATTTTTTGAAATTTAGTACAGGATACTGAGATAAATGAAAAATTCCAAGAGACAGAGTTTCTGGTTAATTAATAATCAGTTTATTGATTAAGCTGGTTAGCAATCAATAAATTGACAATCTGTGGTTTCTCTCAGTAACCCAAGACAATCATTGGAGACCCTGAAAGTTTTAAATATCCCTTCTGAAATGTAATTCCCTTGAGAAGTGAAAATCAACCGTAATTGGTGGCATTTAATGAGGAGGTTGGGCTAAAAGACTTCGGCTCCTCTTGCTGAGAACATGACTTGATCATGAGCTTCAGCCACCTCCAGCAATCTGGATAGGGGAAAATTTGTCAGAACTCTTTTTTGGGGGAGTCAAATTGGCAGTTGTTTTCTTTAATGCATTATTCCAAAATAGCCTTCTCAACAAATTATTTTTTCCCAAATGGTTTCTGAGGGTCCCAATTTAACTTAAAATAAAGTGTGTTCTTATTTGAAAACATGCTTTAAGATAAACATGGAGACTAACATATCTCTAGAAACAAAAAGTAGAATGCTTTTCCCACAGTAAATTCAGATTTGGTCATTTGCATATCATTGGCATGTGTGTATAGCAACTTAATAGCGCATCTTTTGACATCCATGAAGATAAGAATATAAACTAAGGGGTAAAAACACCTAAAATGCATCCAAACCCAGTATACAGGGCTGATAATAGAGATGGGCTTTCTGTTGGATTTGAAGCACTAAGTCAAATGGAGGAAGAAGAGAAATAAGCATTGAAATAGCCATTGTTAGGTGCTGGGCATTGTGCTAAGATATTTGTAAATATCTCATCCTCTATATGAGCTAGCCAGGTTTCCACCATTAAATTCCTCACCATTGGCTCTTTCACAGATATAGTAAATCTCCACAGTATTGCTTCATTTATGCATGGGAATTGTATACCAAGGGTAATGAAAAAGAATATGAAATTCCACAGTGGCTTAATAAGACTCCTTCACTGATGACTGACTATTCTGTTTAACTGGGAGGTGAAATAAGGGGTGGGGAGAGATGGCCACTTTAATTTTTAAAACAAGCATGTTTTTCCTTTTGCATTTGATCCCAAAATATAAGCAGTTCATTGGGAGAAATAAAATGGGATGTGATAAGTTTGTTATAGACGCAGGGCTTAAATCGAACTTTATGTGGATTAAATAAAGAATGTCTCGGTGGTGATGACACCCTGACTCCTATTTTCTGAAGGCAGAGACCCACATACACATCTTCTAAGGGTAATACTTTTACACTAAAAGAAACCTGGTATATCATGGTAGCCAAACTTCCAGAGAACACATATCCAGTTCCAGAGCAAAAATCTGGGTAGACCTTTCCAGGGTACATGTCAAAAGGCATATACCATTTGTTCCTTGTGTTCCTTATAGGGCGATATTTTCTCATAGTAAAGCCAGTGAAATAAAGCTGTGAGGCTGATATCGTAACTAGTAGCTTTTGGATCAGGTATTCAGTGTTAATAAACATATCAGTATCTGTTTTCATGACAAAGTGTGCATTAGGACAATAAGAAGCAACCCATTTCATGCCCATCAAGACCTTGAGGGTCAGGTTCCGATAAGTGTCTATAAAGTCCTGTTGAATGATGTCCCGATACATCATGCTTTCTTTTCTTATTGCTTCAGTAGAGCCTTGTTTCTGGACACCTAGCAAAAATAAGCGAACCACAGAAAATCCAGGCACCACACTTTCATTTCCCCAAGTTTTCCTGATGTTATCCCTTCTTAACTTTTCGCTCTCTTTGGTACATATTAAAAACACCAAGAATGGAGCAGTCTTTTTACATTTGTCTTCCTCTCGGATTAGAAATGTGTATGGCACAGGGTCCTTGGGCATTTCCTCATTTTTTGGAGTTGTTAGGTTGACCTTTAAATGAGAAGGTATGGTGAGTTGTAGCCTGGGGGTTGTAATGTTGAGAAGGTATTTTTCTCCTGTGGCTTCATAGGGTGGGGACATTCCTTGAAAAGGAATCTTCTGTGAATTGAAAATTAGTTGCTTTGTTGCTTTGATTGATGTTTTAACTTCTTCAGGTGTGAAAAAGAAAAAACTAATCCCCGAGCAAACAACACCAATCAGAAGACATAATTTCCTAGAGGGCCAAAAACACATTAGGGCTGTTTTCCCATGGGCCATGTTACACAATTTCCAAATGTTCTTTGCCTCACTATGTTTCATCAAAGAGACAGCAGCTGGTTTTCACTAGGTATTTCTTCCTTCTTAGGGAAGACGACTGGCATTTTATGAGTTTTCATTAATGTTTTGTAGAGAATTTTTCACCTGAGGAATAAAGCAAAACTGTGAGAAGTGGCATAATAGAGATATTAAGGAATATCACATATGAATTTATTGTTCCATTATGCTACTGATCTAAATTTAGACAGAATATTTGTTTCCTAAAATAGCACATTATATATTATAATTATAATTTTAAAAATGAAAAAAGTACATTACATATTATATATTTATGCACAAATATATTTATATGTGTATATTTGTGTATTTTATGTATTTATCAGTTTGATATGCCTAATATAAAATCTTAAAAATTATTAATGATAGATCTGCTCTACTTATTTCCCAAATAATATGAAGATGGTTGCGAGTTAAAAACACATTTTAAAATATTAGGGTAATAAGAAAAAGCATTTATACAGAGCACATTAAGGTATGCACTTATCATAAGTTATTTAATTTGCTTAACAAAAACACGTGAGAAAGATGCTATCACTATACATATTTTACAGATAAGAAAATAAAGTAATAAGTGTGGACTAAGGATCTAGCTGGGGACTTAGGAAATGTGTGGGTGGATCTACCAGGAGCAAGTAAGAAAACCATACAAAAAAGTTATTAGGAGAAAATTCATTTCTCTAAACACTATTACTTAAGGAAAAGAGAAAGAACAACTTAAAAATCACAACATTAATTAAATGAATACTACTTAAATGAATAAATTGGAAACACAAATAAAAACATTAGACAACCAATAAATCTAAATTAAATACCAAAATATAAATCCAGAAAATTAAGCAAAATTAACAAATTTTGAAATAAAAGTTGAATTAATGAATAAAATAGGAGCTGTTTTAGATTAAAAATGACAATAAAATATAGTTAACATAATGTAATTTGATTAAGAAGAAAAAAGCAAAAATAAATAGCAAAAACAAAATAAGGATTTGCAAGAAATTTAAAAAAGAATAAAAATACTATCAGAAACTCTTTTGCCCGACCATGTGACAAAAAATCCAATAATTTAAATGAAATAAATACATATTCTAAAATGTAAAAACATCAAATTAATAAAACAAAAAATAGAGAATTTAAACAATTTAATTTCTGAGAAAGAAATAGAACAAGTAATAAATGAACTTAAATAGAAAAAAAATATCTCCAAGAATAGATGGACTTACAAGCGAATCTATCAAATATTCAAAGAACAATTAATTCAATATTAAATAAATTGTTTGCAAAAACTGCTAAAGAAATAATCCTAAATTTCTGTGACACAGATATGATCTTGACAAATAAACAAGGAACAATCAAAATATAAAAAGCAAGCTACAAACCAATACAGCTAATGAATATAAATGGCAAATAATCTAAATAAAATATTAGCAGACTTTAAAAAACATATTAAAATTATATGCTATTACTATATTGATTTATAACAGGAATTCAGGATTAATTTAATAATCTACATACTGAATTAACAATCCTAATACAAAATCAACAAAAAAAAATAATGATCTATCAACAGATGCAGAACATTTTTTAAACAAAATACTTTTATTTCTCTATGGACTTTTCTTTGAAATGATAAGTAATATATATCTAAAACCAAAATCTACTTTTATTTGTAATGGAAATAAACTAGAATCCTTTCCAAGAAATTCAAAGATGAAATGAGTATGTTCATTTTTGCCACTTCTATTTGACATTGATTAGAAATAGTGTCATAGTAACAGAAGGGCAGAGAGAACAGTCTGCATTAATGCACAATGATAAAAGTCAAGAGCAGAAGGGGAATGAAGAATTTATCAGGACAAACCAAGGAATCAAATTAGCTTTAATTTAACAATTTAGCTTTAATGCTGATAATCAAGCTAAAGAATCAAAAAGCAAGCTAAGGATAATAAAACCCAAGATATTCCAGTGGTGCATCATTTTATGGCAGGACACGTCATTCATATTTGTTAGTTCTTCCTTAAATAAGAAACACTATCCAATGTGGTGACCCACATATGTTTTCTAACAAATCACTGAACTAAGCATTTGAAGGGACTCCATCAGTAGTCTAGTCAATCAATTATTTCATCAATAAGAAATTCTTAAACACTTCTTTTATTCCAGGCACTGGAATAAAGTGCTAAGCATTGGAGATACTAAGAAAATGCAAAAACAGTCCCTGTCATCAAGGAACTTACGTTCTAAAGGGAGAGAAGACATGCATAAAAATAGGTTCATACAAGATACATATAGATACATGCCTTAAAGAAGAAGATGGGGGAAGCTAGTGGCCTAAGAGAGGCTTTCTACAAAAGATAACATTTGAACAGATGCTTAAAGAAAGAAATTGAAGGTTCTAAGAGGCAGAAGTGGTGAAAAAGAACAATGCAGTAATGGGGAATGACCAGGGCAAAGGTAAGGAGGTAAGAGATAAAATATTTTGTATGAAAAAAGCAAGTGGTCCAGTATAGTGGCTGGTAGAGTATGTGAAGTGGTAGAATAGAAGCTTTGAAATCATCTGACTTTTTCCACTCCAAATCCAGTGATTAAGTTTTATCTTGTAATAGCTTTTTGAGGAAGTTATTTCTTGCTGACAGGGAGAATGAAAGGTTCCTAAATGCAACAGATACCAAGCTTTAATGGGAGACAGCACCAGATCTGCAGTCATGACCAACCCAGAGCCTAGTCAGCCATTTCTGAACCATAGCAACAGATAGAGCAAAGCTAGTACTTTGATCAGCTCAGTGCCTAGGAAACACATACCACAGGCACAGGTTGAGTTACATTAGGAGAAAGGGCCAAGGAAGCACTTTGAAAGCAATGTATCTGGGCCTTTACAGATGTTATAAAACAATGTAGTAATAAAATATTTTTATTTGTTTTGTATATCTCTGCTAATATTTTATTTAGAGTATTTGCATTTATAGTCATTAGCTATATTGGTTTGTAGTTTGCTTTTTCTATTTTGATTGTCCCTTGTTTTTTTGCCACAGAATCTGTGTCACAGAATTTAGAAGGATCCATTCTTAAATATATCTGCTACCAGTAAAAATTGACATCTGATTTGGACCTGTTATTGTCACAGCAACGGATTCAGAATTGTGCAAAATGGAAAAGAAAAGAGACCAAAGACAAGCCTAGACTGAGTAACTAGGAGATTGGAAGCAAATTCAGGAATTCCTGCATGATGTAGGATTTTGTATTAGCCAACACATCTAAGTAGGACTTGCCCACAAAATCCAAGAGTATAGAACAGGAATTTGACACATGCACAAAACCTCAAATTAGTAAGTCAGGCTGGAAATATGTGAAAACATAAAATATTAATAAATACTATGGTTTAAAGGAAGCACAAGAAGTAAACCCATAAGAGAATAATTCAAAAATAAGGTAAATAAGATCTTCAGAGGGAAAAAAAAATGACCTGGCCACAAGTATTATAAAAGTACCAGGAGGGGATGAACCTTTAAAGATGTAGAGGATTTCTAACTACTCTTGATGAAAAGATCAGAGCTGAGTAAATACTTTAAATGCAAACACAAGAATTAAGAGAACATAGAGAAGTTACTTAAGGAATTTGAAGGGACTATATGATGGTATTTATATTCTTTCTAATGGGGAAGAAAAACAAATGTTCCCCCAAACTCTAATTTCTTCAAAGGTCATAAATGGCATAAATAAGACAGAAGGCCTGGGATATGTTTTATTATATTTTAAAGATCTCACAAAGTGGGAATTTAAATGGAATATCTTAAGTAAGAAAGAGGCAGGGAAGGAGTAGAACTCAACTATACATATAATTGGAGTGCATAAGAAGAAGGCCATATAAGCATGAAGGAAGGGTGGAGGAAACAGGCTGCATATGAACCTTGCAATAACAGAAGAAAGATTTCTGTGCAGAAAGTTTGGTGCAGAAAAGTATTAGACTAAACAAGGAAAATTATGGATAGGAGGAGAGTGTGTGCTATACCCACCCATTCACCCTATCAATTTGCTTAACACTCTAGTTGTTCCACTTAACTTTTCTTACTTATTTTGTGTTATCTTTCCAAATAACTTCTTGTCCTTCTTGAGTTTACCTCTTTAGGTTCCATTCTGCAATCTTCCTTGACCATCCTCCACCTTTTCATAATCTCTTTAATTGTCTCTTAGTCTTCTTCTCTTAAAATGCATCTGGATCAGTATCTGGGCCTGAATGTATTCACTTTCAAATATTCTTCAGTTTATCCAAAATGTTTACCAAATTTCTTCTTCCCAAACTTAGTCTTTCACATATCTTGCTGTTCTAGACCTCTCCAAGTCAGTTACACCATTAAGTAAGATTATCTGGTACTCCCATCTCTTTGAGGACTTGCCACATTTTGTTGTGATCCACACATTCAAGGCTTTAGTGTAGTCAATGAAGCAGAAAGAGATGTTTTTCTGGAACTCCCTTGCTTTCTCTATAATTCAGTAAATGCTGGCAATGTGGTCTCTAGTTCTGCTTCTTTGAAAACCAATCTGTTCTTCTGCTAATTCTTGGTTCACATAATGCTGAAACCTAGCTTACAGAATCTTAAGTATAACCTTGCTGGTATGTAAAATGAGCACAATTGCTAGGTAATATGAATAGTCCTTGGAATTGCTGTTCTTTAGTATTGGGACATAAATTGTTTTTTCCCCCCATCCCATGGCCGCTGTTGTGTTTTCCAAATTTGTTGGCATATTGAATGCAACACTTTAACAACATCATCCTTTGGTGTTTTAAATATCTCACCTGGAATTCTATCACTGTCACTAGCTATATTTTTAACAATGTTTCCTAAGGCCAACTTGACTTCATTTTCCAGGATGTCTAGCTCTAGATTAGTAATCACAACATTGTGGTTATTGGTAATGTTAAAACCTTTCTTATATGGTTCTTTTGTTTATCCTTTCCACCTCTTCTAATTCATTATGCTTCAGTTCAATTCTTTTTTAACTTTTGTCATGATCATTTTTTTTTTGCATGAAACTTTCCCTTGATAGCTGGAATTTTCTTGAAGAGATCTCTTGTCTTTCCCATTCTA